GGAGCTGGGTCACTGTCCTCCCCCATGGAGGGAAACTGAGGCATCTCTAGGGACCAGGAGCCACTAGCCCGAGCCCCACAGCTAAGCACTGGCTGAGCGGGGACCTGAACTCCCGGGGAAGCCATGATCTGAGGTCTTCAGGTCTGAATGTGGCCCAGTGCTGGGCTGGGGGCAATGGAAGAGACTGGGGGTCGACAGCAGTTCCCGCAAGTAACGGTAATAAACTTCACCTGCGGCCCCAGGTGCCATTCTCGCCCACATCAGTGCTCCCACTGAAAGGACAAAGCCAGCGCCACTTGCCGAGCAGGGCTATGACCTTTTCAAACACAACTTCCATTTTACTCTTCTGAGTTTATGTCCCCAGGACTGGAACACTAGCGAAAAGCAAGGGCAAACTGGGACTAAACACCCCCACTGCCTCTGGCAAAAGATAATATTGGAGCAAACTGTAGCTTATGCAAAATCACCGGAAACCTCCAGTGTTGCAAGGCCCCCAGCAGCCCAGGAGGCACCCAACAGCCACCCCCACCTTTTTATAATCCAATTAAAATCCAAGGGACGCTCAGAGCGCCCACCCCTCAGTGCCGGCGTGTCCCTCCACAGCAGGCCCTCTCCTCTCTTGGAAAGCGAATAAAAACTGTGCTCTCTGCGCTTTCTTCTCTTCGTGCACCCTTTCACAGCCTGCATCACCGACTGCCCTAACACCTAACAACGTCAACAATAGCGACAACAGTATTAGTAATGGCCAGAGCACACAGAGAGCCGTCCACTCCTCACCCTCCACTTTTTCTGATCCCACTCTTTCCTTGGAGGTGGGCAGCGTGGGGGCAGGGGTCTAGGGTCGCCTCATGTGTCAGTGGGGCCATGTAGGGATCAGAGGTGCCAGAGTCCCAGGTGGCCTCGGTCTCCCCCTCCCCCAGACATGGGGGAGACTTCTTCCTGGCCAGGCCTTAGCCAGCCTTGGAAAAGCTGGGGTTATAACAGGGATGAGTGAGGGCGGCAGGGTTTTTGAGATGGGGTAAGGGGATGGGCTGCAGCATCTGCTGGCAGGTTCACGGTAACGGCACGCAGAGATGCCACCCCACGCACCTGCCCGAGTTCCCCAAGAGCCCGCACTCCCTCCCTTCCGTGAAGGGGGTCCACCAGGTCCTCGGGAAACCCCAACACTCACCCGCAGACACGGTCCAGTCTGTGACCCCTGCTCCTCTTCGCTGGCGACCAGGAGGAATAGTTTCACCTGAGGGCGAGTCCCCGCCCCCTCCCTCCTGCCTCCTCCAGGCCTCGCCTCCTGCCATCCAGGGTCCCCACCCCCACCTGCTAGGCCGAGTTTCCCGGTAGCCCGGTGGAGATTGCCCCTGTCTGCCCCTCCTTCTTCCCTCCCCGGCCCCGCCCCTTCCCCTCTCCGCCGGGCTCCTTGCAAAGCTAGTCGTCTTTGTGGCCTCTCCTGTCTCCTGCGGCTCAAGATCTTACCTGAGTCCAACCCACAGCCAGGTAGTGAGCTCCCCGCTGCTGGTGGTGTGCAACCTGCGCCTTCTCAGCCCCTGGCATAGAGGGCCACCCCACGAACGCCCAGCGCTGGCCCCCCAGTGTGTTCGTTGAGAGAGATTTGGGGAGCGTGCTCAGCACAGAACTAAATGCGTGACCTACAGTGCTGGCAAGAGGGGGGACACATGCGATGTCACCGCATTAATTAGGAGGACTTTGTGCTGCCACTAATTTGCCACGATAGAAACTTGACCTCAAGCCCATTTGCACCCATTCTCCCTCACCACGATTCAAATTCAGAGCCGTCTCCTACCCCATGGACTCTGTGTTTCCTGAGTTCCTGGGCCCTATAAAGGAGCCAGAACCCAACTTGAGGCCTGATTTTGAGGGAGTGGCCCCGCTGGTCCCCTGACACCAGGCAGAGCCCCTCCAACGGTGTCAGCGGGAAATGGGATATGTGCACCGTCCTAATCCTGCATCCAGGCTGAGTTCTGTACACTGCCAGCCCCACTCGCCCCCGGAAACTGAGGCTTGTCTGGCCAGAGGCTCCAGGAAAGGAGGAGCCCCAGAGTGGCTCCAAAGCTCCCAGCGCAGGTTCTGAGACTGCGGGGTCCTGGTTCAAATCTGGGCTGTTATTACCATGTGACTCAGCAATTACACTCCTAAGATACCCACTCAAAATAACCCCGAACAGGTGTTCACACCAACCCTTGTGCACTCGTGTTCATGGCAGTGCCAGTCACATCACCAAAAGGCAGAAGCAACCCAGGTGTCCACCAGCTGATGAGGGGTAAACAAAACTCCTCAAACACGCAATGGCACGTCACTCAGCAAAGGGGAGTGAAGCGCTGACACAGGCTGCAATGTGGGTGAACCTGAAAAACATCGCGCTGAGTGACAGGAGCCAGACACAAAAGACCACAAGTTGTCTGATTCCATTTCTGTGAAGTGTTCAGAACAGGCAAATCCGTAGAGATAGCAAGCCAGATTAGGCTGTCGGGGTGGGGGAGGGGGAACAGGGAGTGACTGCTCAGGGGAATGGGATCTCCTTTGGGCGTGATGCCATGGTCTGGAACTAGAGGTTGTCAACTGAAAAATAATATCAACTAGGTATTTTGTCACCAAAGGATTTATTTGGGGAAAAGAAAGGGTGGCGACCCAGTGTCTGCAGGCACAGCAAGCCGTGTTCACATGGCCTGCGAGCCAAGATGGACTCTTTCTATGGAGGGGAAGTCTCGAGAAGGGGAAGTTAGAACCATGGAGCTTTATTACGAACATAGAGTTCTTCCCGTAGGATTCTAAGGTATAGGGTTCGCACGGTTACATAGCGTACAAGAATTTTCATAAATGCTAGCTCTTCCCACAGACCTTCAGACTGAAAATGTTTGCTTAAAGTGCCCAACCACAGGCCCGATTAATTAATAACCCCCAATAATTATTTTGTTATGTGATTTCACATTAACTTTTTCAAAAGTCCCAACTAGGCCACTCACTAGCCAGTGTGGCCCCTGGCAAGTGGCCTGATCCCTTTTGGTGCCACTGTGAGGTTGGGCTTCCCAGGAGTGGGAGACCAGGGTACCATAAAATGCCAGCCTTTAACTTGCCACCTGGGAATGGGATCTGGCCACCTGACGAGATAGAGGGGCGTCCCATCCTTCCTCCTGGCACATGTCATACCAGCTCTGGATGCCCAGGCAGCTAAGAGCCCACACTTCAGAAATGCCTTTCATTTTAAGATACTGAACCTCACCTGTGACCCACGAAAGCAAAGCCACGCCACCGGGAGGTGGTGATAAGCACTGTCCCCCCAGGCAGAGGCCTATGACAGGGAGATGGCACTCCAGTTTCTCAGCCACATAGGACCAGCAAAGGGACCATTTTGTAGGGCCTGAGGCCACTGAGAGTACACACATGCATGCACACACGCACGCACCTACGGGTATACAAAGACTTGGGATAGAGGGGAAGCTCCCATAGGATCAGATGTTTAAGTCTGGCTCCCTGAAGGGGCTGAGGCCCGGCAAAGGGGAGGGCTCGCCTGCACTGGTTCCAAAGTCCTGTGCTAGGCTGGAAAGTGCGTGCCAACACAGTCACTGCCTGAAACGCCGCCAATGAATGCACTGACTGGTGCACCCGCCCTCCACCTAACAGTAGGGTCAGCTGTGTGCAGAGTGGACACCACCCAGACTGCTCCCAGCTAGAGGATTTCCCCCCACTTCCCAGATGAGGAAATGAGGCACAGCCAGGAACCCCTTTTCTGTCTTTTAAGATTTTTATTTATTTATTTGTAGAGAAAGGAGAAGGGAGGGAGTAAGAGGAAGAGAAATGTGAGAGAAGTATCGATCTGTTGTCTCCTGCGCGCCCCCAACCGGGGCTGCAGGGGCCTGGCCCACCACCCAGGCACGTGCCTGACCGGGAAGCGAACCGGGGACCTTTCAGTTTGTGGGAGAACGCCCAACCCACTGAGCCACACCAGTCAGGGCCCCCCTTCTCTCTTTGGAAGACACGGTGGGAGGCGCAGAGACCACAGGCCGAACTCCGCTTCCTGCTCCCTGAGCCCCCTCTGGCCGCAGCTTGGCCCCTGTGGTCTGCACAGCCTCAGGCAGGCAGGGGCCTCACTTATCCATGAGGACCCAGGACTGTCCACTGAGCTCAGACCTGCTCCCCGCCACACGGTGCTGGTTACCGTGCCGGGCCCGGGCCCCAAGCAGGCCCATTCCTGCCCCCCTGCACCGAGGCCCCGCCCCGCCCTCGCTCCCATCTGAGAAAAGCTGCCACACTGCGGGGCACTTCCTGTGTGCCAGGCTCTTGTGGAGGTGCGAGACCTCCCCTCAGCCGCCCAGTGAGGTGGGTTACAGGGAGGTCACGTCGCTTGCTCAAAGTCACACGGCCACCAAGCGGGCTCTGAAGCCAGGCTTTTGGCTCATAGCTCATAGCCTAAGAGTGTCCTGCTCACAGTTGGGTCCTTACTGCCTGGCATACAGTAGGCACTCAACTGATGCTCACAGATTGCCTAGTTGCTTTCTCACGGAACTCACTCTCTCTCGGCCTGGGGTGCCCATCTCCGTCATGCAAACTGTTACCTCCACCTCAAAGCCCCATTTAGAATACCCCCTCCTCAGGAAGTCGTCCCAACACCCCACTCTGGGCTCCTTTAGTCCCCGTTCCCTCCACCAGCCAAGCTCTGCGTCCACAGGACTGGAGGGGGCCATGGGGCCGGGGTGTCCGTGTCTGGCTTTTTCTGTGCTAGTGTCACTCGGCACACCAGGTGGGAGGGGGTGGGGTGGCGGGGAAGATCAGGGCTGTGAGATCTCCCTCCGCCCCCACATCCGTCTTCTCTTCCGCTTCACTCTGGCGATGGGAAGGAAACTTCCAGCGGCAGGAAAATTATTTTATTAGAAAATAAAGTGTTTATTCAAAGAACATTAAAAGTCCAAGGACCTGTGTGGGAGTTGGTGGGAACGGGAGCGAACCTCAGGCTCAGCCAGGCTGGGCACGGGGCTCCTCTCCACAGGGCCAGGGCCGCGGAGGAGGCCAGGCGTGGACCCCTGGATCCAACAAGCAGGCGGGGAGCAGTCACCAGCACCAGGGCTCAGTGCAGAGCTGGGGCCGCTGGGCTGGGCAGCCTCCCGGGCTCAGCAGCTCACCAGGTACATTCCTGCGGGGTGCGGGGCCGTGAGCGGGGCAAGTTCACTTGTTTCTACCCTGAGATTGCCCAATCTTCCCCTAAACACCCCTTAGCTCACTGCCCCACAGGCCCCAGGAGCCCCTTGTGGGGGCGAGAGAACGGGGAGAGGGGGAGGGTGTCGCTGCAGGGGGGTTTGGCTCCAGGCCTTGGATCCTTGCATGAACACCTACCCTCCAGGGGACAACCCAGAAACATTCATCTCCCTTCTTGCCCCTCCCACTGGGATCCTGGCCGCCCCTCCTTGCCTGAGACCCCCCATCCTGGGCCTCTGGACCCCGACACCCACCTATCCTTCCCAAATACCCCAAATGCCTCCCCCCGCCCCTGTGCCCTGGCCCCCGGGGGCGTGGCGGCAGCAGGGTGGGGGCCTACCTGTGGCGAACCTTCTTTTTACCAGTGACATGCGGTAGCCACTGCCCACCAGCTCCAGGTCCACGCCGGACAGAGTGGCCCCTTCACTGGTGAACTGAGCGGCCACGGGGCTGGGAGTGCTGGGCCCTGAGCACGGCTCCCAGCTGGCAGACAGGCGGCCGGAGCCTGGGAAGGCCTGAGGTCAGCTGCGTCCCATCCCTGGCCCTGGCGCCATCCCCACGGTGACCCAGGCTCCTCCTTGGCCCTCCACCTAAGTCCTCCGATGCGCGGCCTCTCTGCCCCTCTGACCCACTCTCGTGCCCCTGAACGCTTTTCCTTTGGCCCCACCAGACTGTGTGGTTTGTAAAGGAGCCCTGCCTCAGGGCCTTTGCCCCCGCTGTGCATGCCCCTCCTCCAGCTTCGTCAAAGCCCTTCCAAGCCTGTCTACATGCCCATACTTCCCTACCCCAGCGTATCCACGATTCTCCCCAGTGTAAAGAAGCGCTCCTGCGTGAGCCCTCTAAACCTCATGTATAACCATAGACTCACCCCCTGCCTCGGACACATCTGGAAGCTTCCATAGGAGCCGCTTTTCCTCCAGGTTCCTGGCATCGAGAGAAGCTTGGTAAGTCTACCCCGGAGAGAACATTTGGAACCCAGGGTTCCAGCTCAGTGGCCTCTCAGCTCCATGACTTGAGCAAGCAGGTCCCCTCCCTTGCTTCTGTTTCCCCATCTGTGAAACAGCAGTGGGGTGAGGAGCAGCTGGTCCCCAAGGGCCCCACAGCCTTGCAACACTTTTAGGCAGTGCTCCTATAAGTCTGGCTTCTTTGTTGCAGGTTCTATCCTTTATACAAAACTAAGGCAACATCGGGGCTGTGACCTTAGATAAGCAATTTAGCGTCTCTGGGTCTCTGTTTCCCCTCCGTAAATGGGCAGGATGGCAGTCTGCACCTGGAGGGACTGCCTAGAGCCTTAAGCTGACCAGTGCATGCAGAGCCCATGGAGCACCCCCGATGTGGAAGCAGCTCTCGGTGCCAGATATCAATACTGTTAATAATAGCACCCCAGTTGTAAGCAGTGTGCGCTCACAGGGACCAGGTAGGTCCGGGGCGGACCCTTTAGTTGCTTCATCAGCGGGAGGGTTGGGGACTTAGGGGGCGCCACTGAGCCCCTCTCAGCCTTCCACATGCCCTTACCAGGTGGCGGCTGGCTGCAGGCGGACATTGGTCACAGGCTCCCCCACAGGCAGCAGGATCTGGACATTGGTGAGTGGCGTAGGCACAGCCGTGGCACCGGGCCGGTAGCTGTATTCCACCGAGACCTGAGTGAGGGTCGCCTCGCACTGCCAGTGGGCGCTCAGCTGCAGAGGCACGCACTGGGGACCCGGGCGGGAGAACTAGAAAGAGTGAGAAGAGCAGAGAGATACAGACTGGGCCATGCTGTCCTGCCACGCCGCACACTGTCAACCAGCTCCAGTCTGCTTCGCGCACACCGCCACCCCAAGAGGCCCTTCCTTGCAGATTCTGCGGATAGGAGTCTGCATTACATCACACTTCCAGCAGAGGGCAGGAGAGGGCCTCATTCTAATCAAGGCTGTGGACGGGTTCCAGGGCAGGGTCCTGGTAGGGGCACTTGTAATTTGCATAACGATGGCATCTGCACTTGGAAGCCCATCCTCCCACGCTGCTTACCCAACCACCCCCGGGCCCCGCCCCCCCCCCCCCCCCGCCCCCCGGCGGCCCTCTGCGCGTCCCATGCTCCTAGCCCACCTGGTACCGCAGCAGCATTACGTTGTAGTAGGAGGCAGCCGGATTCTGCTCTGCCTGGCGCTGCAGTGTCTCCGTCAGGGCCGTCATGTTGAGCCAGAAGTCTCTGGTCTCAGGGTCGCTCTGGGAGGGGTCGCTGCAGAGACCCGGAATGATCACTCCCACCCTCAGAACAGGCCTCCTGGGGATCCCCAGCATCCAGCCTACCCCAAGGGCTTCATAAAGATGCTGATTTTCTGGGCCCTAGCTAAGCGCAGTTGGCGGGGAAGAAAAGGAGGACAGGAAAGTGAGGTCCAGAGGGGGAGGGACTTGCCCAGGGTCACAGAGCAAATTCTGGGAGGCAGAGGAGTAAGTCAGAGCTGGGGAGACTTTGGCCCCCACTAGCCTCTGGGACCCCTTGTTCCTGACCCCCACCTCCCAACAGTACCTGAAGAGGAGGTCGGCATTGGGCTGGAAGTGCTCGATGGGGGCTGTGTGCACAAGACGGAAGCTGAGGACGGGTGGGGGTGGGGTCCCGCTGAACACTCGCACAATGCCGGCTGGGAAGGTCATGGTCAGCTCCCCCGTTACTCGAGCCAGGCTGCTGGGTGAGAGGTGAGGGGACCGGGCTTTGGCTCAGGGCTCTGCCCAGCCCTCACGCTCCTCTCTCCCCGGGCTCCACTAGAGCCTGTGGCCGCCTCGGTCTGCTGAAGCAGCGAGGTCCTGACTACGCCCAGCGTCCTTACCCCCACCCTGCTCCCCTTGGGTCCCTGCCTGGAGAGCAATCCAGGCACAGGCAGAACCCACACTGGGCTGGAGGAGGCAGGATCACCTCCTCCCCCTAGGCCCCACGGAAGCTCGCGGCTCAAGTTCAGTTTTATAACTGTCCGCGGGTTGGGTTTTAGGCCTAATGCTCTCTTCCTCTTCTCAGTTTGGCTTGAAGTCCTTTCCTTCTGGGCACTGCCCCCAGACTAACCCTGGTCCCTCAACTCACCCTTCACCCAACCCTTCCCTAGGCCTGGCCTCTAGTGTTCTTCCCTTCAGGCTGGTGCCCACAGCAGCCTGGGAGGACTTCCTCTGACCTGTGGCTACAACAATGCCCGGCCCTGCTCAAACACCCTCTGTGGCTCCCACTGCCCTTAAGGAGAGGGGCCTGATTGCTCAGCTCAGTGTCCCAGGCCCTTCCATGGTAAAGCGGGTCATGAAACACACGTGAAAGCTGTCCCTGTCCCTGCTGGGACCCGGACGCACAGCCCCCAAGGAGCCCTGACTGCCTCTCACTGTCTGCACTGTCCCCCAGCACCACGTACCTAGGGCTGTGGCCGCGGAAGTAGGCATGGACGTACTCGGTGAAGACGGTGGCCACAGGCAGGGCATCCTGGGAGCCCAGCACCACGGGGCTTGGGCCCCGGGAGATTCCTGGGGGCGGTGGGGAGGGAATGAGGGGCAGACAGAGAGTGAGCAGTTTTCAGGCTCCGGAACCTTCTCTCTTCCTATAGGGCCTCCTTTGGGTCACTTAGCCCGCCACCCAGACCAGAGAATGTGAAACCCGCACGTACCGTGTCCTGTCTGGGATGAGAAGCTGGAACGTTCTGGGGCAGTGCTGGGGACTGAAGCGCCCAGTGGGGAGGGGCTCAGAGAGTGGGACTGGAAGGGAAGGAGACGGGCTGGGCTGTGAACACCCAAGGAGCAGGGCCCCGATGCTGGCCCGGGGCGGCCCCCAGCCCGGCTCCCGCCACGCCCCTCTCCCTACCAGGTCCCCGTTGCTGCTCATGAGGGGGCAGGACACCTTCCTGGAGCGGGGTCTCCGGGGCGGGGCTGCCAGGCCCTCCGTGGCCGGAAGGTCGGCAGGCATGGGCCTCAGGTCTGGGGAGTGAGTGAGAGAAAGACATGGCTGAGATGCTGCCCTTGCCCCTTGGGCCTCCCGGAGGTGGAGCTCAGCCAAAAACTGGGAGCCAGGCTATTGTGGGGAGACCCCTGGTGGTCTGAAGTCCTGGGGCTACAGAGAAGATGCCAGACAGGACTGCAGACACCATCCACAACTCCGAGCCCCGCCTCCGGACACCAGCCCGGTGGCCCAGTAAGAGGTGAGCTCCCCGTCAATGGTGGAATCCTAGACAGGACTGGATGCTCAGAAGGCGGGCACGCTACGGGTGGAGGGGGGTGGAAGAGGGTTTTACCTAACGTTCAGAGAGTACATGGGAGGCCTCCAACCCTGGCCCACGTCCGAGTCTCACCCTTCTAAGTGAACTAACATGGCGTTAACACCCAGGCTCCCCGCGCTCTCCCTCCTCCCCAGGGTCCCCTGCTCCACTCCATCTCCAAGCGCCTGCTAAGCCCTGTCCCCTCCCTCCGGCCCTCCAGGGCCTGTTCCTCTCTCCTCCAGGGTTTCTCAGCAGCACTGCGGACAGGCTCACATTGCGGATCATTTTCTGGGGTGGGGCCACCCTGTGTGCAGTAGGGTGTTGAACAGCATTCCTGGCCTCAACCCACCAATGCTGGTTGCTCCCCATCCCCCTAGAGGTGACAATCAAGTATCAGTGGTGACATTGCTGGGTGTCCCCTGGGGGGCAGAACTGGCTCGGTTGAGAACTCCTGTTCTGCAGTGAAGCTCAGACAACTCAGTTCGTCTACACTCATGGTCTACACTCACTCCCTTGGGACCCCCTTGAAGCAGCTCCAACCAGTCTTTCGCTAACCATGGGCAAGGCCAGGCACCCCGATACCACTGCTGGGGACCTCGTGCGGTCACAGCCCACACTGCCCCCCAATGCAAAGGCGACACCATTCTCCTCAGGTGACCTGCAGGAGCCCAGTCCCGCCTGCTCTCCTCCTCCTTCTGGCCCTGCCTCAGCTCAGCCTGGGACCCTCTCCTCTCCTCTCCTGCCCCAGGGCGGCCTCCCCGTGCCTGGCGCCACCCCTGCGGACACCCTCCCTCCTGTCCCTCCTCCCCATCCTCACTGGTCCAGCCATCCCAGCCTCCCCACAGCTGCTCAAGGGGTCTGGCCGCTGCCACTGCTTGGCCTCTGCACGGGCAGTGCCCGCTGCTGGGAATGCCCTGCCCGCACACCCACGTCGCCTCATCTGCACCTCTGCCCATCTCAGCTCAGATGTCCCTTCTCTGGGACATCTGGGAGGCCCCACCCTTGGGCGCCTTCATCCGGTACCTGCCGCCTCCTGCTTAGTTAAATATCCATTTCACTACTGTCCTTACAAGGGTGGGGTTTCTGCCCCCGCCCCGCTCCATAGGCCACTGATCGGAGTAGGTGCTTTGTCCGCCCCCTCAGGGTTCCGGTAACAGTTCCCGGCTGTTCGACCTACCTCCTCCAGCCACGGCCTCCAGCCCCCAGGGGCCGGGGGATGACGCCAGGGGCTGTGGCGAGTCCGAGGACAGCAGGGGCCGTGTTCCCCTCGACTCAGGTGGCTGAGCCCTACAGCTAGGTGGGCTCTGCGGGGTGCCTGGGCGCGGGACCCAGGAATCGGGGAAGGGGCCAGGTGCTGTGTGAGACGGGGAGTCCAGGCCAGAGTCCTCCACGTTCTCAGGGGATGAGGAGGAGAAAGGTGAGGGGCTGGAGGTAAAGCCAAGACTGCTGGATCCTGGGGGGAGAAGGGGCGGCCAGCTCCAGACCCCGCCCACAGGGAGTCCGGGCCATCTTCCTGCAGGCCACACCCATGTCCCTAAAGGCCTGTTCCCATTCAAAGCCAGGGCCTACCCCTCCACCCCACACCATGCCCTCTGGTCACTTCTGTCTCCACTGTGCCTCACCCACCTACTCTGTCCCTCCTAACGCCCCCACCCCGCCAAGAGGCTTCACCTTCTCTGTGGCTCCACCCACTCTCATACTGACCTGGCTGCACTGACCTTCCTTTGGACCCACAAGGACCCCCACATCCTCCCTCCAGCCCAGCCCATCCTCTTGCCCACTGGAGCCACCTACCCTTGCAATGGCTCCACCCATCTTCCCTCTGGTCACACCCACCCCAAGCCCTTACCCCCGTCACCTGTAAAATCTTCATGGTCAAAGGCTGACTCCAGGGGTGGCCCAAAGAGGTTCTTAGAAACCTGCTCATCTGATTGCAGCTTCTCTGTACAGCTGGCGACCAAATGGACAAGAGGGGCTGTTTTATCGTTTCCAAGCCTCCTCCCAGCTCAGGCCTCTGCACATGCTGCTCTTGGCCTGGCCTCCATTCTCCCAGTTCCCCCTGGCCCCCCCCCCCCCGCTTCTCCTCAGGGCTCGGCTGAAAGTCGCTCCCCCACAACCACCGGGGCCCTCCACTCTGCCCCAACTACCGCCACCACTCCCATCTTCCATCACGTCACCTGTTTTCGTTTCTTCGTAACACTTAGAAGTACTGAACATGTTCTACCTTATCTGCTATTCTTCAAATCTGAGCCACTAGAACGTAACTCGGAGAAGGGAACCTAGCTGGGTCATATACCCCAGAACCCAGAATGGCATGAATACACAGCCCATACTGAATAAATGTCTACGGAATGAACTGCTAAGTGGTCTCTCAACTCCCTGCCTGGGTGAGTGAAGGGGAGACAGAGACACAGGGAGGGAGCTGGAGAGAAGATGGCTCCCACCTGCCCACTCCGATTGACCCCACGTTCCATGCTGTGACGCACCTGCTGGCCCTCGGGGCAGATCGAGGCCTCTGTGGTTTCCCAGCGGCATCCCCTACAAGAGATGGGCCTCCCTGAGCCTTCCCGGCACCCTGCCTGTGGGGCTCCCCACCCCACAGCCCAGGAGGCCGAGGCTCGGGCTGTCCAGGCAGCTGGCCGCACTGACCAAACCAGGCAGAGAGGGACTTAAACCTGAGCCACTGTCTCCAGGTCTGGGCTTCTTTCCGGGACATTCCTTTGGGGTCTCATTTAATCCTCACAGTGACCCCATTTCATAGAAGAGGCTGAGCGTCAGAGTGGGTAAGCAGCCTGCTCCACGGCACGCAGCAGAGCTGAGATTCAAACCCACACCCGTACTTCAGGCCTAGTCTCCCCTCCACGTTCTCCTCCCCAAACCGAAGACCCCTGAACGGGCTACTCACGTGAAGAATGGCGTTTCATGGTGCCCTGTGGACAAAGTGGGTGCATCAGGTCCACGTGTCCAGCCAGCCCCCCGCCCCCTGCCGCACCTCTCCTGAGCCTCACCCCTGGGCCGGGAGGGAGGATGAGGCTGCCCGCCGTGGCCCTCAGCTGCGCAGCGGCTGCCTCGGGGCTGCAGGCTGGGGCACGGGCCGCAGCAGGCTTGATGTGCACATAGAACTTGCGGGGCTCCTCGTCGTCAAAGTCAGAGTCGCTGGACGAGAAGCGGGAGGGCTCCGCTGTGCGTGCACCTCAGTCAAGGGGCCAAGCAGATCCCAACGCATGGCCTCTAGCTAGTCAGCCCTCAAATCTGACCACGGCCCTTCCTGTTCATTTGAGGGTCTGCAGAATTCTCTCACCATTTGTCCCCCTTGGCCCCAACACCATGTTTTACCCCCTCCCCATGCCTCCATCTAAGCCTTTGCACAAGCATGCCCTGCCCTAACCAGTGAACTCCTATTCAACTCCTAAACCCCAATACTGGTGCTTCCTCCTCCAGGAAGTCCCCTTCAATTACCCTCTATTGTAACCCAGCCCCTCCTCTCCTCTTGCCCAGCCCTGACCCCACAGGGCAGGTGTCTGCATTTGGATTTGCTTTGTCCATACTAGAGGCCCCCCGCCCTCCAGGGTGTACCCAAAGAGGGTTGCTAATGGTAGAGAAACCACTGTAGACAGAGCTTTGTCATTGCTATGCCAACAACCACCCCCAGAGGGTGCCAGAAGGATATTGTTCTGGGTCACGTCAGGCCGGACAGTGAAGCCTTCTTCATCCACCTCTGGACAGGGCTGGGGAGACAGATGGTGAGTCAGGCTCTTCCCCATTCAACCTCGACTTTCGCCCTGCAGCCCCTCCACCTGCCTCGGACCTGAAACCTGCCCCGATGGCACTCACCGCTGAGTTAGGCTCCACGGGGTCTCTGCGGATGGGAAAAAATATGGGCGTCAGCTCCCCCACCTCTTCTGTCCCCTCCACCCCAGCACTGGGAATGGCAACTGAGGGGGTGGGCCTGGATTGCAAGCATGTCCTGAGCTGGCCCTGCAGGCGGTGGGATCCCGGCTTGCCTGGGGTGGGAGGCAGGGACCCTGGAGTCAGCAGAGGAAGGGCTGTTCCCACACAGCGTGGAAGGGGAGGAGCCCTGCAGCTGGTGAGAAGGGCCTGCCTGAGAAGGCCTGGGGCGTGGGGCTAGCCTTGGAAAAGGCTATCTGGGGAGACTGTGGGCATGGGGAAGGACTGGGTGCTAGTTTGTGCAGGGAGACTCTCCCGGGCTCCGCTTGGCAAAGCAAGAATTGCTGGGATGCATCAAGTGGAGAAACAGGACTAGCCTTCGCAATGGGAGGGATCCTGGGCAAGTCTGGGCCAGGCAGCCCCTGGCCTAGCCTTGGCAGAGGGAAGAATTCTGGACTAGCTTGGATAGGTGATATCGAGTTAGCCTGGCACAGAGGTACTCCGTGTCTTGCCTGGAATGAGAATACTTGTGGGCTCCCTTAAGCAGGGGACCTCAGGGATAGCCTGGGCAGGGGAAGGGGTCCCGGGCTAGCCTGGGTCAGGGCCAGTGGGTTGGAGTGCTTCCTCACACAGCTGTAGGCGGCTCCCGCTCCCTCCGGCTCAGTCCTGGAAGGCGAAAGGCCTTGGCTCCCCGCAAACGTTTCATTGCTGAGGATAGACGGTGGGTGCGGCTGAGTCCTGGGGGTGCTCCCTTCCCATTCAGCTCTGCCTCCCTCGTCCCCACAGTCCAGCCTGGGCATCCAGGTCCAGACGTACTTGCCTTCCTGCAGGGCAGCTGTGCTGTACGCCTCAAAGTCCAAAGGCCCTGAGAGAGAAGAGATTGAGAAACTCAGCAGAGAGGGAGCCTGGGCCTGGAAGGCTAACAGGGTCCTGGACATGGGTAAGATGCTGAACCAGCTGCAGAGACGGCCATGAGTGGGATGGGCCAAGGGTTCTGCTCCCACCTTGGGATGGAATGCTGGGGGAGGGGCAGTGGTGATGCTCGGAGTTACTTCTCTTTACTCCTTCTTTTCTGGGTCAAACTTGGTTGGGTCAGAGAATGGGCCAAAAATTGATACAGTGGGCCAAGCTGCAAGCACCAGGTCAGGAGACGGGACTCTCCTAAGGGAGGCGGTGCGCCATGAAGGTTATGTGAGCAGGAGCCGGGCATGACTGATTGGGGAGCCAGTGCAGGGCTGGAGAGGGGCCCGCACAATGAGCGGCGACCGGAGCCAGGGCTGAGCTATGGAGATACGAGGGAGAAAGGACAGGCAGTGCTTGACTAGATTTTGGGGCAGGCTTTGTACGAGCATCTATTAAATTCCTACTGTGTGCCAGGCATATATTTTGCCCTTTACCTGCATCAAATTACTGAACATTCATACCACCATCAGTTGAGATTAGTATCATGCCCACTTTACAGACGAGAAAACTGAGGCTCAAAGAAGTCAAGACCCATATCCAAGGTCACACAGCGCGCGATGAAGAAAAGACTCAAACCCAGACAGACCCCCAACCTTTTTTTTTTAATTCTCACCTGAGGATGTGTTTTGTTTTGTTTTTAATTTTAGGGGTGGGGGGAGAGAGAGAGAGAGAGAGAGAGACATCAAGGTGAGAGAGAAGCATCTATCGGTTGCCTGGTTGTGCCCCACCCAGGGACAGAACCTGCAGCCTAGGCATGTGCCCTGACCGAAGATGGTTTTGGTGTAAGGGACAATGCTCCAACCAACTGAGCCACCCGGCCGGGGCCAACCCCACAGCTTTTGCTCTCAACATTTCCCCATCCCTGCGTCTGGGCAGTTTCAAATCGGTCTTTTGCTCAAAAACTCGTAATGGCTCCCTTGGGCCCTTTGGGTAAAATACGAATGACTGAGTCTGGCATTCATGGCCCCTCTGGTATCTGGTTGTAAGAGATTTACACATAAGATCAGGCATCAAATCCTCTTCCTCTGTGGGCTGCAGAGTTAGATTTGCCATCAGCCCATTTTTCCGATGGGGAACCTGCGGCCCAGGGAAGCCTCCTGCCTCTTGAACCCTGCCCTTTCCATGCCTCCGGGCCCCCAGATGCCCCGACTCACCAGGCTTCTCCCGGCCCGTGCCCTTGCTCTCCGCAAACTTTTTCAGCAGCATTTCCACACTGATGTTCTCTATATTTTGTTTAAACTCCTCGTGAACCTGGGCAGGGTGGGCAGAGTGTGTAATTGGGAAAAGGCCTTCTTGCTCAGCGCCCCCACCCTCATTCTCCACCCCGGCCCCACTCACCTGCCCAATCTGCACATGAGTGTCCTCCACTGAGTGGGCGTAGGAGCCCAGCAGCGCCTTCATATGCCGCAGGTGGGTCTCTTCCATGGCTTGGAAGTGCTAAGGAAGGAGGGGAGGGGCAGATGGAAAAGCGGAGACCACAAGGAGTCGCCAGGTGACTCAGTCTGATCAGTCGGAATGTTTCAACCCCTTAGCATCAGTGATTGGTTTGGGGAAGAGCCAAGGAGAGTCTGCACTAGGGCTTTTGCTGGAACTATAGGAAAAGAGACACTTCCATATGCTGAGTCAGTGATTTGGTGGGGTGCATGTGGAGGTGTCTGGTGGTTACTTTGCTACATGTGCACACACAGGAGGCCCTGTCTGCTTGACAGGGAAGCCCCAGAGGGAAAAAGACTTGAACAGGAGAAAGGCACAACTTCCTGCCAACACCGTTGGAGCCAGCCCTGCCCGGAGTCCTCGCTTCAACCTTTTCAGCTCCATGAGCCTGTATCTTCCCGTCAGTTTGAATGACGTTTCCTGTCATTTGTAACTTTCTATCCCTTGTAAAATCAGAAGAAAAAAAAAATCTCATTTCTAATCCTGAGATTCCAATCTGGTTTTCCACTTGTGGATGGACAGAGACCCAGAGAGGTGCAGTGTCTTGTAAAAGGTTACAGAGCTGGTGAGGAATGGAGGCTGGACTAGAACCCAGGCCTTTCAGCCACCATGAAACGTCAGGAGACTGATATTCTAAATCCTGCCCTATTTGTTCAAAAACCTCATCAGTAATAATAGAAATAAAAATGGTATGTCATAGCCCTGACCAGGTGGCTCAATTGGTTGGAGCATCATTCTGTATACCCAAAAGGTTGCGGGTTCAATTCCCAGTCAGGGCATATACCCAGGTTGCAGGTTCGATCCCCAACTGGGGCATGTTTGGGAGGCAACTGATTGATATTTCTCTCTCACGTCAATGTTTCTTTCTCCCCACCCCTTCCTCTCCCTCAGAAACAATTTTTAAAAAACCCTTGGGCAAGGATAAAAAAAATGGGGGGAAAAAAGTATCTCATAGAGTGGTTTCTCTGCACCTGGTACTAGTCTGAAAACTTCACCTACTGTGACTCATTTAATCTTCACAACAACTCTAAGAGGCAGATACTGTTACTGTCCCCATTTTACAGGTGGGGAAACCAAGGGACAAAAATGGTTTTGCTTATGAAATAATATTAATAATAATAAGAGCTAACTGGCTTTAAAATTTGATAGATTTATGCTTGTGATTCAGAGGCTCCTGGGAGTTGAGGGTGTGGGAGGCTCTAGACTTCTGAGGCCCATAGCATCCAGCCCCAGGACGTGGAGGTCTCCAAGGCAGAGACACCGGTTCGTACCAGAGCTGAGTCCAGCATCTTCTGCTCGAAGTCAGCGCGTGCGCAGTTGTACTTCTCTACAGAGCGCCGCAGGCTCTCTGAGGCTTTCTTGGTCTTTGTCTCTGCCTAGAGGCACAGGGGGGGACAGGGCTGGGAAGAGACACCCAGGAAGCTTCCCCCACCCTCCTCTCGCAGGGTGCCCAGGTCATGGTGACCACACTCAGGTTTAATAACCATAGCTCTGTGGTATGTTTTCACTCTACCATCAGGCAGCCCCCGCGCCTCGGCAAGCTCCTGAGACCGGCGTGGGGTGGTGTCGGCTGGGGACCTGAAACGGTGGGCCCACCTTGTCTATCTCCTTCTGGCTTGTACTCTCCCTTCGCAGCCGCTCCTGGTCCATGCACCGGTTCAGGTAGTTCTCGCGGGCCTTGGGCAGGAGCTGGCTGACTCCTGCAAGGACCTGCACGGCGTCCAGGGTGCCCACTGCTTCCTCTTTGCACTGTGAGGGTGGGGAAGAGAGGAACATGGGTGCCGCCTGAAACTCCTGCTGGGGCACAGGACCTGAACAGACCTCAGGTACAGACCATGAAACTCTCAGCTTCCCAAGCACTGTGAGATTCCGGGCCCCACAGAGAACTTTTTCTGAGTATTATTTTAACATAAAAAATTGTAGCTTCTTAGCCTGGGCTGGTGTGGTTCAGTGGATTGAGTGTCAGCCTATGAACCAAAGGACAAACTGTTCGATTCCCAGTCAGGGCACATGCCTGGGTTGTAGGCCAGGTCCCCAGTTGGAGGCAACCACACATCGATGTTTCTCTCCCTCTGTCTTCCTTCCTTCCCCTATCTCTAAAAATAAATAAATAAAATCTTTTTTTAAAAACTGTAACTTTAAAAATAGGTGAATTTATGCATAACTCAAAAAGTTTTAAGGGGGGAGCTCCCAAAAACCTCCCACACCCTGGTCCCCAGCCTCACAAGCCTCTGCTAAGGAGTTCCCATGTCTCCAGAAATGACTGGCATGTGAACAAGTAAATGTGCTTGTCATTTTAAAAATGACAAATTGCAGCAGTCTGTCCTGTTTAACTCACTAATTTTCCCACTTCATAGTCCACTCCCAAGATCGTTCCACATCAGCCCATAGGAAACTTCTTTGTCCCCAATTTTTGAAAAATTGTGGTAAAATACACAAAACATAAAATTTACTATCTTAACCATTTGTAAGTGTATGGTATGAATTACTACTACCACCTCCCTCCCCTCTTTTTTTTTTAATCCTCACCTGAGGATGTTTACTGATTTTAGACAGAGAAAGAGAGAGAGAGAAAAACAGGGATATGAGAGAAAAGCAGTGGTTGGTCGCCTCCTGCATGTACCCTGCCCAGGGGTGGAGCCTGCAGCCTAGGTCTGTGCCCTGACGGGGAGCCACTTCTGCTGCCTTGGTGTATGGGATGAAGCTCCAACCAACCGAGCCATCTAGCCAGTACCCAACTTCCCTTTTATGTATGTATGTCTGTATGCATTTTGATTTTACAGAGAGGGGAAGGGACGGAGAAAGAGAGGTAGAGAAACCTCAGGTGGTTGCCTTTTGTACACGCCCTGACCGGGACTGAACCGGTAACCCAGGCGGGCGTCCTGACCAGGAACGGAACCGGAACCGGCGACCTTTCACTTCGCAGTATAACACCCAACCAACTGAGCCACGCCAGCCAGGGCCCAACTTCTCTTTTAAACAGGGTTGAAAACTACAGATTTTAGACTCTGTAAATACCAAGAATTATCAACTGCAACTATTCTGGGATCCTGACAGGACAAGGCTTGAATTGTTCAAGATTCTAGGTTTGAAAGACTCTACAAATGTCAAAGAATAATATCTGTAGCTTCTAACCATCGAGATCAGGGGTTAGTAAGCTTTTTGTGTAAAGGGACAGAGAGTAAATGGGTTTGCTTGGCATGGACATTTGACTCGAAAAAAGAGCCACTATTGTACACAAATGGACATGGCTGTGTGCCAATAAAACTTTATTTACTGGCACTGAAATCTGAGTGTCATATCATTTTCACGTCTCACAAAGTCTTCTTCTTTTGATCCCCCATCACCACCATTTAAAAATGTAATGAACATTCCTAGATCATGAGCTATACAGAAACAGGGGGTGGGCTGGATCTGACCCATAGGCTGCAGCGTGCTGACCTCTGGTCTAGGGTTTTGAGTCCAAAATGTCTGCCAGTTCCCTGGTCTGTGGGGCTCTGGGTTTGATGTTTCAGAATTGCCAGAATTCTCAGAGGCACGAGCAGGGCCTGGGGCTCCTGTCAGCCACGGGCGTCCTCTGCACACCCTGCTGGGCAGTCCCCGCCGGGCACACACCTTCTTGTGCACCTTGAGCTGCTCCTCGCTGTAGCGGAGCACGTCCTTGATGAGGTCCTGCAGCTTCCGAGTCAGCTCCAGGTGGCAGAGCGCCAGCTTGTCCGAGGAGACACGGAAGACCTCCCAGAGTGGGGCAAAGGTCCTGGAGATGGACAGGGTCACAGCGAGGGCCCAGCCGGCCCAACTCCCCTGCGTCCCCTCAGACAGCACGACTGGCATTGTCTCAGTCACCTACTGTGTGCCAGGCCCTGCTAAGCACCAATGCATATTAACGTATTTAATCCCCACCGCGACCATGTAAGGCAGACGTGTGACTGGTGGGGACACTGAGGCATAGGAGGCTCCGTAACTCATGCAAGGCCCCTCAGCACATGAACATCGGGGATGGAATTTAAAGTCAGGTCCCGAGGCCCCAGAGCCCTCACCCTGGACTCCAGGCCCCACCTGATACCCAAGGGCGGCTAAGACGCAAGCAGCCCAAACCAAGTAGTTCCTGGGGCCCACCCACCTCAACAGAATCCCGCCCACCAGCTTCTCCACTGTCTTCCCTCCCTGCTGCCTCCATTTTTGCCCATGACAGAACGTTTGCCCCACAGCAGCTTCAGGGATCTTTGCAAATGCCAATGGGCCTACGTCACATCCTTGTTTAAAAGTCACCTGTGCGCCAGGCCCTTGCACCCAGCCCCCCCACCCCATCTCATCCCCACCTCCCCAGCCCCTGCAGCCATGCCGGCCTCCGTGCTCTTCCCTGAACATACACAGGGCACGGCTGCTTCAGGCCGAGCTGCCGCCTGGGTCCCTCTGCCCCAGACACTCGCAGGGCTGCCTCCTCATCACTGAGGTCTCAGCTCATGAAACCCGGGCGCACGCCAGAGAAAGCACCCAACCTCTCATGCTCCTATTCCATTCCCTTCCTAGCACTTTTCGTCCTAAGAAAGGACTTTGCTCATGTTTGTAGTTACCATTTGTCTTGTCACACATCCTCGATGTGCATGGCATGAAGACACCATGAAGGTAATTTAGGATTTTATCTGTCTTCCTGGCCACTGGGTCCCCAGTGCCTAGAACAGTGCCCAGCACACAGTAGGTACTCCGTAAATATTTGTTAAGTGAATTAATGAGATAGTGAGTGAATGAATGATATATCTTCCTCTGTCCAATTAGCCCTACATGTGGGGGGATGACTCCCTAACCTACGCATCACACGTGTGAAAAGATGCCCACCCTAGGGCAGGCTCCTGATGACCCCAGGGCCCCACAACCTTGTGAGCACCTGGTCCACTCACCCCACGGGGGTCCCATTGCTGGCCAGCTTGGAAAGTTTCGCCATCGCTTTTGAATAGGTCTCCTCGATAGTGGCCCTGGGGAGGAGGACAGGGAAAAGATAGGGAGGCTTCTGGGCCCTCCTGGGAGATGCCCTGCCCCTCTTGGCCTCAGTTTTCCCATCTCAAACATCTGAGCAGTGGCTCTGAGTGAGGGCAGTATCGGGGGAGGTGTTCGCGAAACTCACGGGAGAGGTTTTTATCCTTACATAATACATTTTACTAACAACAGTAGTAGTAGCAGCAGCAAGTGAAAAAATGCTTGAGCACACACTGTAAACACTTTCTAGGGCTCTTCTCATTTAACTGCAGGAGAGAAGCTACATTTCCTTTTCCCTTGGAGAGACAGTGCTACATGCCTACCTAATATCCCCTCGCATTTTCTTCTGGAACCACAATTTTGTCTGGGGCAGCAATGTGCCCAGTTAAAACCAATTACCCACTGGGGCATTTCACAATAGGGGCAGCCAGGGAGCACCACAGGCAAGAGTGGATGATTCCAGGGGTGGAAGACCCGCAAAGTTAAGAGTGGCTCAGACAGCCCGGGGTGGCTTAGACAGTCCCACTTGACCCATGAAGAGAAAAACCTGGTTATAGTGCTTTGAACTCTCTGCCCAGATTTAACAGGCACTCAGCTACTGAGTGACCAGGGAGTAGAAGGTTAACTTGAAATTGGATTTTATTATGTTTTCTGGGATACTAACATCAGAACACTTACATATTGAGATGCAGATTATTTTATCACATGTATTTTCTTTTATCATACTGAGGGCATGAGACTGAGTTTTCAAAATTCCCCTTTGAGTAAGTCATGCTATCATCTTCGCAGGAGGCATTTGAAAACCTGGGGGATGTTGTTTACAGGAAGTCATGGGACTGAGAGTGTTGAAAACACTGTTTCTGAGGGTCTCCAAAGCAGGTTTAGTTCCTGGAGCCAAAGGGATCTGGACCTCACGGGGCGGGGCTTGGTGTAGCTCTCAGGAGGGATGGGCGTGGCCACAGGGTGGGCGTCGCAGCCGGACTGTGGAGCATGGCCGCGGGGTAGGGAGGGTGCGGGGAACCTTACCTCTCCCGGATGAAGTCTGCCAGCTCCTTGGTAGAAATGGGTCCCTGCTTCACGCTGTGGTACAGAACCTCAAAGCCATGGTTTTTCTCCCCCTGCGGAGAATGGGGGTGGAGATTGAAAACTGGATGCAGGAAAATATTAAGGTTGCCTAGCAACATGGGTGTAAACAGAGGACCCAACAAGCAGAAGCCCATCCCCTTGGTTGTAGCAGTTAGTTCATTCTTTCCCCACCCCACCCTCCCACACAGATTGGTTCATGGGCATTAAATTGGCTTAATCAAAGAGAAGCCTAGGACTTCTGTCCCACAGCTGAAGGAGACACGTCCTCATTCACTAGTTGCCTCTGTTTCTCTACTTGTCTTTGTTTCTCCATCTCTTTCTTTTTTTTCTCTCTCTGAGTCTCTTTGCCTCCATCAGTCTCTTCCTCCCTGTCTTTCTCTGTCTGCGTTTTTCTATAAATGAAGACTTATATAGGCACAGGGAATATTGGAAGTCAAATAGCGTCCACGAACTTTGGAAAAAAACTAAACCTGAGAGAGTCTGAATAACAAACATGTTGAGTGAAGTTGCTGGATCAAACCAACCCTCACGGCCATGTTACCCCCATCACATTTCAATTTTGGGAACCAATATGACCGCTGTCATGTAGGTCGCTGTAGTCAGTTTCCGTTCTCTTTGACTCCTTGCCTGAGCCCCCAGAGCAAGACCTGGGTCTGACGCCCCTCTCAGGACCTAGCAATGTCTGGTTCCGGGTTGGGGTTGGGCGCCAGAAAGGCATTTGAGTTTGTTGAATAAATGAACAAATGAGGCGTCCTGTTGTTACCGGGTGCTGGTGGGAACAGAGCCTCTCCCCGGGCGCCCGCTGGCGCATTGAACAAAACCTCTTTCGTCCCAGTTCTGGGGTCACTTCAGTGGGGGAGGCTGGGGCTGTGCTGTGTGGTCTGGGCAAATCACTGTCCTTTTAAGTGGACCCTCATTAAGTGGGGGCAGGGAGCCATCTAGCTCTCATATGGGGATGAATCAGGGTCCCCAACACCCCAAGGCAACCCTAGTTTTTGCTAATTTGTGGCATTAGTTAATGTGTTGCTTTAGGTTTGCTCATGTTTCTTTTCTAAACACATTTATTTAAAAAGGGCAACTTTTACCACTCTTGCTAAGTGGAAAACCAGGACTCCATGCCATAACGAAGGAAAAAGGAAAAAAATGAGGCCACAGCCATGTTTTAATGCCACCAGACCCTGTCACATGTAAGGGCATCGTGGGAGATCAGCTGGCATCTGAGGCCACTGAAGACATGTTAGCACCAAACAGGGCCTTGTGATTCAGACTGAAGGAGGAGGCTCGTGGAGGGACCTGACTTTCCTTCACTGCCAATACAATCGCCTCAGCAACCCCCTCGGCCGCACTTTGCAGGTTCTCTGTAAATGGCTTCCCGCATCCTCCTCCAGTTCGTGCGGTTCGCCTTCCCAGTTACCTGGAGCTTGAAGGCTAGAGTCAGAAGTCACTACCAGATGATCCCTCTTGCTGCACAAATGGAGACACCAAAGCCAAGACTGGGGTAGACCCAAGACAGCCTCAAGCCCAAATCTCAGTTACTCCTCATTCTTGAACCATTAACGGCTCCCTAGTGCCCACCAGCTGCTGAAGTCCAAAGCCCTTAGCCTGGAATTGCCTTTCCAATCTCACCTCCCAGCTTCCTCTTGGCCTCACTCTCAAAACAGCAAACGGTGACCAGCCGCGCTTTCCCGTCGTTGCGCTGTCCCGGCCCCCTGCTTACCAGGAAACATCTCTTTCCACCCATCCAAACCCTTCCACCTCTCAAGGACCTTTGCCGGACTTGGAAGAACCTTCTCCGACCCTCCTCAGACTCCCACTTCCCTGAACTTTCAGTGGTGATCCCCCCAGTCCCCCAGGGATCTGTCTCCTCTCTTTCCGTGTCTGTAGTTTACTTTCAAGGTTTGAGGGTCAAAGCCTCCTTTTATGCACTGGGTCACTCTGGGCTGGTGACTTCACCTCTCTGGGCCTCAGTTTCCTCATCTGACAAATGGGGATAATAACAGCACTCACCTGCCAAGGGTTTTGGTTCCATGAGGCTGGCAGGGTGCTGGACACAGGGCTCCCTGCACGGTGGCGAGTGCTCAGCAAACAGCTTGAGCATCCCCCACCAGCCCCGGCCAGGGGATCCTCGGGTGAGGCCGCGCCAGGCACCGCCGCCTAGGCTAGCATCTGGGGCTGACTCGGAGCCAACTGCTGGCCCATTTCCCAGACCTGGCAAAGCCCCCAGCAGTGTCTGCCTCCCTTGGGCTGGGCTGGCAGCTGAGGGTCCAAGGAGGGGGCTGTCTCAAACCTGCATCCTCCATCAGAACCTCTGGGCTCCAGTGCTGCCCCGACACCAGTCGCAGAGATATATATTTTTAACACAGCCTGATCATGCTCCTTTCCTGCTCACACTCCCCCCATGGCTCCCTAGTGCCCTTTATGCCTCCAGCCCGGGTTTGGCCCAATGGGACTAGAGCATCCCTGTCTGGCTTGATCTCCCCTGACTAGAGGCTCCTTCAGGCCAGCCAGAGCCCCAGCAGCACCCAGCAAAGAGCCACCAACGCAAACAATAGATTAAACAAAACATTGATTAAAAGAAACAAACATTCCAGAGGTGCTTTCTGGATCCCAGGGAGGCAGGGATTTCATCCTCCTTTCCCAGATGGGGAAACTGAGGCTTCGAGATGCAAAGTCACCTGCCCAAGCAGTCCCAGCAGAGTCCAATTCAAATCCTAAACTCAAAGCTCTTATTCACTGTGCACCAGACTATCTTTGGGTAGGGGGCTGGGTCAGGGGTGGTTTCTATTTTCTCTTTGCTGATCTGAATTTTCTGCAGTGAGCTTGCACGCTTCATACAATTAAAAGAATTTAAAATAAATGTAGGTGCTTCATGCCATTAAAAGAAATTTTAAATAAATGTAGGTGCTGCTGTCAGGGTTCCAGCACGTGGGCAATGCGACTGATCCTCAACCTGTCAACCCCCTTACACGGAGTTGCCAACAGAGGCTCGGAGAGAGGCAGCTCCTCACTGGGGTCACGCAGTCATTCAGAGGCAAATCTGGAGACTCTGACCCTTGGAGATGGGGTGGAGGTCAGGTCCCCACAGGTGGCAAGGGGGTGTGGCCCCTTTAAGAAAGCAAAGCCAGTAAGAGGAGCCCCAGCTGGGGAGCAGAAAGGAAGGGAGCTGGGCCGGTTGCTAGGTGCAACCAGTTGCCTAGCAACAGGCTTCCTCTCTGCAAGCTCAGGGCCTGCAATTGGGGAAGGGGCTTTCTGCCCTGGTCCTTCGTAGACTCTGCTGTTCACATATCCTCTGTGGCTCCCAATTAGCCTGGACCTGCAGGGGGAGTCCTGTGCCCTCCACTAGCCAGTCAGTGTCACACCTCTGGGCTTTTGTTCAGGCTGTTCCCTGTGCACAGAGTGCCTTGCTGACACCCTGGAAAATCTCAGCCTTCAAAGCCCACAGCAAACAGGACTCTGTGTCTTGGCTCCTCTTCTGGGTATCCCCAAGGTACTACAGGACTGGAAACATCTGTCTGGCTCTGTGTCCCCCAGACTGGGGGCTCCTTGGGGTCAGATCTGGGATGGAGCCTCTTCGGGGGCAGCATCCCCCACAGTTGGCTGGGTTTGAGATGTGGGTGGCCCGGAGGGCAAGTGTAAATGAATGAATGAAAACAAGTCCATCTCACTTGGCCGCCTTGTGGTCCCCAGCCCAGAGGGCAAATGGGTGGGGTGGCTCCTTAGGGGTCAAGTCATGAAACTCCCCTAACTCTCCAGGACGGGACAGACATGGAAATCCCCTGGCTGGAACAACACTGGATCTTGAAAGTTCACTCTGATCCTGGGTTTGAGCCCTGATCCTGCACTCTCTCATTGGGAGACCTCAGGTACGAGAGTCATACTCTGAGCCTCAGTCTTCCTGTTGTTCAGTCTGTGACTTGCCCAAGGTCACGAGGCCCATTTGGACTGTGGAGGTGTCGATTCAAACCCAGTCTGACTCTTCCCACTTTAACTTTTATTCCCTACAGACTCTCCGCTTAGATATCTAAGATTCTGCCCCGAAGCAGCCAGGTCCCCCGCACCTCCAAAAAAACCCACCACAGCCTTTCAAGGAGCCCCCACCAAAATAAGAGTGGGTCTTACTTACCCAGAAATGCTCCCCAAAATATGACATCTTGATGGCCTCTGTGGAGACCCCTGCAGGCTCCTGCCTAGTTCCTGTCTGAAGAGAGAGGTGAGTTTGAGTTGCAAAGTCATAGCTGTTTTGGGCCTGAGGAGGGGAAATTCCAACTGCCCTCCCTGCGGAGGCGGGAGAGAGAAAACAGTAGAGGAACCAAAAGCCTCAAGGCGAGGAGCATGCCAGGCTCCAGAGATGATTCAGTCCCAGGCCTTGCCCCCGAGCAGTTCCCAGTCTAGGGGGACCAAGTCGGTTATAGATGCCCCAAATCCTGTGGGGTTAGATGGAGGGGTAGGGGCTGGGAGAGCCTAGACCAGAGGGTGGGGCAAGGGATTTCGGTTCTTAAGCATGAATAGGAGTTCACTGTTGGGGGCGCTACTGGACGAGCCCTCGCCTGGGCAGAAAAGTTCTGGGCCATCTTATAGATGGGAAGGCAGCTCCCACCCCAGAGGGCAAACCACTTGCCAAGGTCACACAGTCAGGGACTGACAGTGGATTTGCACCCTGGGCCAGCTGAGTCCAGACCTGAGCATCCAGCTCCACACGGGGCAGCTCCTGCGGGAAAAGGGTCTGGTGAGGAATGGACACTGGGACTGGGATTAGCCGCCTGGGTGTTTGGGTCCCTTGGGATCTCCTGAACTCCTCTACGACAGTCTCCAGCTCAGGCGCACTCCTGGAACAGAGGGCTGACCCCTCACCATGGTGACCCAGCTGGCACTGACGCCCCCACAGGCCCCAACCCTGCCCCCTGGAAGCCAGTGTTCACCTGGTGTCTGAGTTACTGTCCAGCTCTGTCCCTCAGTTTCCCCATCTGCAAAACAAGAGAGAATGCCTAGAAGGAGTCTTGCTGGGGGACCCCAGATCTCCCTGACGTGGGGGGTGGGCCAAGCCGTCTGGTGACGGAGGGACACTTGGTGTCCTTGGCACATCCTCGAGGCCAGGCTTGTCACTGGAGCCCGCAGGCCCCATTCATAATTCATGACTCCGAAGGCAGCTCAGCAGCAGCTGGGAGCCCAGGAGGCACAGTGGCAACAGGGACAGGGCTGGGGACTGCAGGATGGGGAAGCTCCCTGGGCCTCACCAGGAAAGGACTGAGTAAGGACCCTGGACAAAGCTGTCTCTTGCTGAGCCTCAGTTTACCTAACCCTGAAGTGAGTTTAACTTGATCCATTATCATACAGGCCCCAGTCCCTTGACCTCGCCCAGCACCCGCCTTGTGCCCACATGGCCCAGGACAATGCCAGGGTCTGTGAGAGGATTCAGCCCTGGGCCTGGTCCCTGCGGCGCCCCCGTACCACTCTGGGGGAACAGAGCTGGACGCAGACACCCGGGTACTGCAGGATCAGGGCTGGGCCAAATGGAGGAACAAAAACTGGGGGAGCCTGGACCGAAGGGGGTCAGCTGTGGGCGTTGGAGTTTGAAAGCACGGAGTCCAAGCAAAAAAATAGATTTGATTCAACAAACATTCCCAACCACCACCCTGTGCTGGGGGTTGTGGGGGCTCCTAAGAAACTTCAGTTGTCAGCGCAGCCCCTAAGGAAACCCAGTCTGTCAGAGGGCATGCTAGCCTGACATCCCCAAAAGAAAAAGCCTTAAATGTCTATCTCATTTCTTAGTTTCTGACCACGATATAGACCCGGAGCATCTCTAAATCCCTTGGAGCTACACTGACGGACACAGGAACCACTAGCTCCATGTAGCAACTTAATTTCAAACTAAGTAACATTAAACACAATGAACCCCCCAGCTCCTTAGCTGCGACAACCTTGCTTCCAAGACTCAGTCACCACACAAGGCTGGCAGCTGCCATATAGGACAGACAGACCGAGAGAGTTCCGCTGGACAGTGCTGCTCTAGACTGTCTGAGGAGCCACCAGGCCCAAGTTCCACAGGAACCAAGAATCTCGCGACTGTTTTTACAACTCTGATTAGACACCCCCCCGCCACCCCGCCACACACACGGAGTGCCAGCATGTATGTGGCGCTGTGCCCAGCTCATCCCAGGTCCTGTTCATTTAACCTTCACAACCACACCATGAGGCACAATCCCAATTTTCAATGAGGAAATTGTGGCACAGATTGGTCACTCACTGTCCCCAGGTCACTGTGATTTTGTCCCTGGCCTGTCTGCCAAAGGACTCCTGTTCAGAACCACCAGGGATGGCTCTGGGTCTCCATGTCCGCTGCGCTGCCTGGCAACCCCCCACACCACTCAGAGGAGTAATGGGGGGCATCGCCCCCGCTTCCGCAGGCCCTGGCCCAGCACAGGAAGCGACACCTGCGGTTTTTGAAACCCAGGAAGCAGAGAGGCATCCCTTCTGTTCCTGAGGGGGGCAAAGAGGGGCAGCGGGGGCTTCTTAGCAGGGCTCAAACTCACCGAACAGGGCAGCGAGTGGGGCTTGGCCCCAGTCAGGGCAGGCACCAGAGATAGACACACAGCCCCGCCACTTCCGCCAAACACAGGCCCGGGAGTGTGGGGGACAGGAAGCACACCCTCCCCATCAACCGCCCAACTGCCACCTCACCTTCCCCTCCCAGAGCAGTACCCTTGGGACTTCTCTGGAATTGAGCAGGTCATGGATGGGTAAACTGAGGCCCCTGAACCTGCAACTATTATTACCCAACAAATAATAATCACGACAATTGTGAAATAATAGAACCCACAAATTGAGTGCCAACCCTGGGCTGAACATTCCACATCTCACCATCCAGAGGTGGGCCAACGAAGCCTGCTGCACAGATGAGGAAACCGAGGCTCAGGGAGGGGAGTCCACACATCCAAAGTTGCACAGCTAATGAATGGCTTGAACCCAGGACCACATTAGAACTCTCACTGGCTTGAGGCACTTCTGCCTTCCTGGGCCCCTTGCTCCATTAAGGAAAGAATTAAACTATATTTTACAACTGCACTGGCATAAAGACAAATATATGAATATCATATATCTAAATGTTTCCTTTGATTCCACAGCTCATTTTTTTTTTCCCTTCTGATTTTAAAAGAAGTTAAATCTTCATGGCCACCTAAAAGCACTGTGCTGGAGGCACACAGCGGTCACTGCGTCTGATGAAGAAGTCGGCCTTGCTGGGCCCCAGGCCCCTGCCTCTGCGATGCCAGTGCAGAGCCCAGACACGGTCAGGGACTTGCCCAAGGTCAAACAGCAGGTTTTCGGCTGACCAGGATGCCTCCCACCTTCTGGCGGCTGGGGGTAGGGAACAGAGTCCTTCCTGGGGGTGTCTCACATGACCCCTGACACACCCTGGAGGTGTATCCTTCCTCCCTTGCAAGAGCTCCCCAAACCTGGGGCTCTGCACCTGGTCTAGTACGAGCCCAGGCCCAAGATAGGTGCCCAGTCAGCAGAGAAGGCTGGACTCTTGCTCCGGGCCTCCTGCTAGGTGACCTTGGGACGCCCTGACCTCTCTGGGCCTCCTGAGTTTTGTGAAACAGGATCTTAAATTTTGCTCCTCCTCAGCTCGGGTCTGCTCACAGGAGGACTAGTTTGGGGTTTTTCTTTTCTTTCCGGTGCCCAGCCTCTTGGCCATACTTTTTCAATAACCATCAGTCACATGCTTCCTCCCTCCAGGTTCAGCCACCAACGCCGTGACCATTTACACACTCTGGCTTGATTCTCACAATGGCAGTTAGAGACAGGGTCTCATCTTGGTCATGAAATGGGGGAACTGAGCCACAGGCCCCACGTTACACAGCAATGGAGCCACTGAGTAGGCATCTGAGCTCGCACAGGAATTTTTCAGTCCTTCCCATTGCCCCCGCTCCCCCTGCATCACTTCACTTGGCAAACACCTACGGAGCACGCACTGTACCTGACTGTCAGGCTGGAGATACGTACGGCAGGCGACACCCTTGTAGACTCCCCCTCTCATCTCCACACCTAGTCATCTGTGACTCCGTTTATAATCGGCAATATTGCAATTAGTATTATAATGATCACGTCTATATTTATAGCACTCCCATCCTCCCACAGTCTCCTTTGATCTTCCGAAAAGGGTTTAGCCCATTTCACAGAAAAACACACCAAGGTGCAAAGGGACAAAGCCACACACAGGAGAACCAGATTTGAACCTGAGGCATTAGACTCCCAGCACAGTGCTCACCCCTGGGCCCACTACAGGGACAGAGCTTCAAAGGGAAAGGGAGCAGGCTGGCCTGGCACGGCCTCCTGTCTGGGACCCCGCCCAGGCACTTATTGCCCCTGGCGTGGGTGACGGTATGTGGGTCAGGGTGTGCCCCAGGCGGGCCCTACAGTGAGACCTGGGTGGTAGATTCCCCTGTTCCAACGACTGCAACCTTGTGATATAATTTACTGTCTGGCAGAGTAGCCCTTCCGGCAATGCCAGAATGTGATCATCAACCCATTTTGCAGTGCAGTAAACTGAGGCTCAGAGGTCAGCAAGGCATGTAGGGGGTGATGGTGGGGTCTTCAGACCCATTGCTCTCACCCCCAAGCCACCAACATCTTAAGCAAAAGGGTGGGGTCAAGATCTGGCAAAAGATGGAGGTGGATGGGTTTCCAAATCTGTACAATACAGGCTCCAAAGCCCACAATCCCATTTTCAAAGAAGAAACTGAGGCTCAGGGTGATGTTGTCACTTGCCCAAGGTCACCAGTGAGCCAGGTCCATCCAGAGCCATCTCACGGTCCCCACTGTGACTGGGGCAGAAGACTCCTGGGATCCCAGGCAGATGGAGGGGCCACCCACCCCTCCTCCACACCCCACTCACAGTCAGCCTCCAGCAAGATCCTAATTTACCTCGATTTATTTTAATCCCCGGGAACAGATGCTCACTGCCCAACCCCCACTGAGGAAGGGGCCACTCCCAAGTCTACTCCAGGCCCTTCCAGGCCTGGCCTGGCCAGCCAGCCCCTCCAGGCAAGGGACCCCACACTGACCCCTCCCAAGATTCCAATCTTAGGGTCCTTGAAGAGGATCCCAGCGAAAGGTCCCCCACCCTATCCTTGTGGTGGGGGGCTGGGACAGGACAGTCAGTCTACAGG